CCTTGTGCCAGAAACTACGCCGCAGATGTGACGGTAGTGTGAAGCTATTGTAAAAAGTGAACATCATCTTATGTGGTGCAGAGTTCTCTCCTGAACCAAGTTACGCACTCCAGGGCCTACCTCGTTGCTGTTTGCTTTCTTCTATTCTTGGACACTCGTACCCGGCGTATTCTTGTTTGATTACATTTCCCACATGTTCCTACAACCCAAGAATCATGCAGGGTTGCAATCCAAGAATCATGCAGGGTTGCTGTGCACATGTATCATGCTTTCAACGCAGCGGACACGCTGTTCTTGTTCGAAGGTCGAGCGCGGTTAGCCATGTCCTGTTCGACGCCCTTGCACGGTGCAACTTGGCTGTGAGGGCATTGGCGCTTGGCCAATGAACCTGCTAGATATTTTATGATATTTTAGTGTTTATATAGATTGAAAGCAGACGACAGACGACGGTGAGTTCAGCCCTTTGCACTTTCTAGCTCCTTTAAACAGTGCGTGTTCTTGTGTGTGAAGAGGATGTCCAATTCCTGACTTGAGGGATCTTGAGGGGCTTTATGTACCTATCTTGAGTCTAGCTCTGAGTCGTACAGAGCCCTCGCGTGCGTTCTCTTCGCTGGACGATGCTCCGAGGTGAGCTCCCAACGCAACGCGCTCTTCGCGGACTGGATCCATAGTACTCTCCAGGGGCCGTGCCTAGGCAGCAGTTTGGCAGCCGTGCGAGGCAGGTTCAGAAGGAAAAGCTGGAGCGCACTGGACAAAAATGCGGGTTCGGAGCACACCTTTTCAGGGGGATTCGGATGGCCAGACGCAAGGTGACAGAACACCTGTCATATTGCAGGCATGCCATGCTTTGCGCAAGCCACCAGATGTTATGCCAGAAGATTCATCAGAACAAACGTCGGATGAGGTACTTGCCAACAAATGTCAAAACCGATGTCAGAATACATGCCAGAACGCATAAAGCAGAACAAATGTACTGTAACATAATGTCCGAGCACATGCCAACACAAATGGCGGAACATATGCCAAATCGTCGTAAGTTTGAAGGCAGAACAGTCCAAAAGAATCTCACATGGAAGTGGAAAACACCCTGCTCATAATGGAAAGCAGTCTTCCAAGATCTTCCAAGGGACTATGCCATCCACTTCCATGTGATGTGTCCGTCAGAGTGTACCATTTTTAGCACGAGATCCTCATCCGAACTCATTCCAGACTCCGACATGTGGCCTCCAGCCGCCCGCAAACACCCTCTCCCGTTCGGTGATGTGTGTTGAACGGTACGAACGAACCGTACTGGACCTGATGCCAAATGTCAGAACATGGTGTCAATTGTCAATGCATGGTTCGATTTACCTTCTTCCAAATCGCCTCTTAATAGTGGCGAACTCTCTTTCTTTGAAGAATATTGAAGAGTCTTGTAATTATCCACAACTACCTGCATGTAGTTGTTTAAGATGTTTTGGGGAGCCCTGTTCATTCCTCATTTGTCCTAAAATATGTGAAAATTATATATTTGGCCTTATGTATTTGGTATATGTTCTCATAGAAGGATGGTGGCCCCTTTGCCCTAGACTTCATTCTATACATTTATATACATGTCTAATCCTCCGTGTTTCCTTACCCCACATGAACCTTGCAAAACCCACAGTTTCTCAAAGGAGCATTTGGAGAAAAGAAAAGGGGCCCAACTCCATACAAACCACTCGCCATGTAAATAAAGCAGACCAACAATAGCGCCGGAGTTTCGTTCTTGGGGCTCCAATTCTAACTGTTCGGTTCAGCAAGATTTCCGGGATCTGGGTCCAGTCACTGATGACTGGCGCGCTCCCAAGGTCAGCACGCCGGCTCTCGCAGAGTCAAAGTGCAGCGGAACTTCTGTCGGAGCCGGGGATGTCCGGGGGAACCCAGTTGCGGCGCCGAACCTCTCGCCGAACGAGGTGATCGGCGGAGCGAGATCATACTATTCATGGTAGATATTGGTCTTAAGTCATTAATTAAATGCGACTATGCTGTACTGTATAAATATGTATGTATACTAAATACTCAAAAACCGAGGTCAAACCCAAGTCGGATTCGACGGGGCGCGTGCGAGAGAAAAGAAAGTGAATTGGTAGGAGGAAGATCATCCATACTGGGCCGGTTGTCCCAGATTGTTTGAGAGCGTGCGTAGGTTGAGAAAACATTTGACGAAAGATGACTCAGCGAACTTGTGCCGAGTGGTCTCAAAATCTGACAAACTGAGATGATTGGAAGTTGATGATTCTCCCTCACTGTTTATTTTTGCTCGTCATTTTCTATGTTCGCTGTTCGAGATGGGGTGTTCGCTGTTGGAGGTGTTAGCAAGGCAGTTTGGCCTGATTATTAGATTTGTATACCACCCAGACGCTCCAAGCAGCCCTTGGTCCCTCAAAACCCAGACCAGGCCTGCAATAGATGCGGCTTCGATCCCTCCAGAGGATTCGGGCCCAGGATCGGGGCAACAGCCAACAGCCACTGCCAACAGATCTTGGGTGCACGGAATCAGCTGGAGGGAATGCTGGCGGAATCGTCCATGAATATTAGGAGTTAGGGTAACCCAATTTGTTTCCTTTCATCAAGATGGGACCACCCCAAACACGGTGTTTCTTTTTCAGTTTTGACTTTCTCAGGGTTGTGGCGGTTGTGGTAGGTGAATATTCCGCCGCGGCCCCCTTCTGTCGTCCTTTTAGCTGCTAAGGTCCATGGTGACGAGGATGGTGCCCGAACGGGCAAACATGATTTTGCCGTCGGGGGCGAAGATCAGCTAAGCAGGAGCAAGACATCTACATAAAGGAGCAAACACCCCATCGTTGTGCAAATATACTGGTGCAGAGCCTCTGCCAGGAGCATAGTGCTACTGACATGTTTAACTCTGTGGTACTCATTGACGAGTTATTAATTAGTCAGTTTCCATTAGTGTCGGAGCTGAGGTAGTGTGTAGGACTCCAACTGGCATGTGTCTAAGTGATGGTTGACCACTTGTCATTAACAGCGACGGACCCATATGTCCCAGTATAGAGCGTTTGGAACTTTTGTTTGGCAAGTCGTGACCAAGAATCGGGCGGGAAGGGGGTGAGGATTGAGGATGGATGGCTTCACTCATGGGACCCTTTGAGAGTTGTTTTATTTCTTTAAACGGCACCCCAAATCAACGGAGGCCCCATGCGGGGGGGTGACAGGTTCATGACTCATGACCATCCCAGGTGGAACGCGGTCGAACACCCAGAAGTGGAGACTCCTGATGGACCCTGGGAAAGTGCATCACCTGCAAAACCTGTTTGTTTGGAGTGGTTTCCCCACTAGACAAGAAGAGGTAGAACAAGGTGAGCCTGTATTTTTCAGGGATTTCCGGCTCAAGAGTCAGCCTGGGACCCTCCAGGTAGACAAGACATGACAAGACTGCCTTTTTTTCCTCCAAGGTCATGGACGGATCGGAAGCAGCAGACGCCGGGTGCACTCAGAGCATGTGCTTTTAGTGACAGATGTTTGCTTTGGTGCCGCAGGCTGAAGAGACTAGGCCATCAGGAGCCAGATCTAGCTCAAGAATTGTGTGGACTGTGACAGCAGTTTGGTTGCTTTGTTTTTGTGGCTGGCCAGAATCTGAAGGTCATAGATTATCTATTTTGGGGTTTGCTTGATAGCTGCTTAGATTGTCTTGTGATTTGTTCTTCTCAAATGCCCAATGGAAGCCGCCAAAGACATCGCTTTCAAAGCACCCTTTGACGGCTTTATATTTGGCGCAATGTTGACCACAATTCCATAACACAAACCTTTTCCTATACGTATACTTGGGGGTCTCAAAAAGAGGCGAACAATGAGAGGCCTGTTCTAGTTGGGCCGGCGCACCGTGCCATTGCTGAGGCGGATGGTTTGGGTCGGCATGGAGCGTGAGAAGTGGGATACTCTTGACGCGCGACGGACGCGGTAGAGACGTCACTGGGGAGGTGGTGAGACGTCGTCGACATCATTGGCAGATTCTTCGGCGAACGGCTGGTCCAAATCGAATGCCACTCCAAAAGAAACCAACTGTTGAGGACAGGAACAACGGAACTTGTCTTTGACATGTTTTGAGGATATTCAGCTGCTGTTTGCAGGTGTGAAGGATGAAGAAGAGTTCCAGTCTTGAAACCATCCAGTGACACCCTTGGATTAAATCTTTTAAAAGACAATTCCTTTGTGAGAAGGATTGCATTTGGAGACAGCGCTCTTCCCAAAGGGAACGCTTAGAAACAAAAACTGGAAACACGTGTTTTTGCGGAGCGAGACGGTTCACTGTGGGGCATGACACGTGTAGGCAGAAAACACCACCAATTCGGTCATGTTGTGTACTTCGCGTCGGCTGTGAACCCGGGGATCATGGCATTGTTGGTTTACAAAAAGCCACAAACCCTAGGGATCCAGTCGTACCGAACCTCAGGTACGGCACCTCAACCCGACAATGGCACCCACCCCACACACCTTCTGAGGTTCGGTACGACTGGATCCGAGGGAAAGCACCAGACATGCCAATTCACACTGCACGTTGCAGCAAAACTCGAGAAACAGAATGGGCAGCATGCTTCACTTCGATGACTGTCTTTTTGTCAGATGGAAGGACACGAGACCAAAGCCTGGATCTCACGTCGAAAAGGATGTTTCGGTCAAGGAGCCCTTTGACAGCCACAAGTTTAGGCGCAGATCATTGTTTTCACCACACGCACACAGTGGTTGATGCGTGTGCACGACGGCATGCAGCGGGAGCCATGGCTTTGGACGTTGTGCAATGATAGCCCTTCAAGAGGGCTTTTGTCCTTTCGTGACGTAGCTCATTATGGCAGAAGAAGTTTCGAGGCCCATGTTTTTCCTCACGCATCGTTTGCTCCAAGCTTGAAGAACACTCCATGAGAGAGTGACAACTGTGACAATGAGTTATATCAGTATATATCAGTTATATCCCTCGGATATGACCCACATGTAGTTGGTCGTTTCACACAGGGGGTGGTGGACCGTATGCCTTTTGAGCAGAGCGCATGGCGTTTATGGCGTTTCTTTGCTGCCATGAAACTTGAGGTCGGGGGAGGGCCTGGGCTAGAACTGGTGATGATGAAGTCTAGGTCGCATCATGTTTGATTCTTCATGTTTTGGCCTAGCCTGGTCCCTGTAAATTTGTTTCTTGCAGTGAGTTGGGTCGGTTTAGGATTGATTCCTTTCATTCAATGGATAGCAGGTACCATAACTCTCCCAAAGGTCTCCGCTTTTGGAGAAAACGTGGCAGGTGGTGACCTGTTGGAGGTTGGTCTAGGTCATTGAAAAAGGGCTAGTCGCACGTAGGTTGGGAGCCCTTGAGATGTGGTGTTCAGGTGCTTGCGTTGTATCCGGAAGTTTGAGCAGGCCAGGAAATGATCTCAGCAACTAGGAGCTTACCCTTTGAAGGGAAGTTTGATGCTGATAGTCTAGAAGGCACCAGAGTGAACAAGTAAAATGTATGCTTTCTGCCAGGTCTCGGCAACCCGCAAACGCGCGATAAAGAAGAGGAGAGCTTTCAACAGGGAGACAGCAGCTCTTGTGACAACATCAGTATGGACACTGCCATAGATTTGGATTACAGGATGTAGAACTGGATGCAAGTCAAGCCCTAATCGCAACTTGAAAGACCACGCTGCTCTTGAAGCACAGACCCCTTTCACATCATTCGTTACTCCTTTTTTTCAAAGTTGTGATTGGGAACTGCCAAGTCTTGCTTACCGTCCTTTCTTTGCCTTATGTTTTCTTCTCTGGATGGTGTTCCATGAGCTTGGTGCTCCAAATTCCAGGTCCTTCGCAGCCTTTGCGCCCCCTTGCCGCGTGAATGATGCGGCGCTGGTGCCTGCCAGTGCTGGCTGGGGCGGTCCTGAAGTGGATGGAAACGATGTCCAAAAGAGGATTTTAATCTGAACTTGTCTGGGGGTTCTGAGAAGGCCCTTAGTCCGAAGCTTTAAACCACAGAGTTCAGATGCCTCCGCAACGTATCCGCAAAGGCGGCCTTGGTGCTTGGCACACAGCCTGCGCCTGAGCCGTGCATTTTTTGGGCCACAGGGTGGTTGGGCAGAGATTTCCGAACACACACATGTGTTTGGCACCAACAAACCCTCAGCGATGAATCATATTCTCAAATTTTTGAGATTTCTTTCCTATTATAAGCCAGTTTGGCCGATTCCAAGTAAACACGTGAAGGCTTTCAACCAAAATTGAACGCTAGCTCTGCTCCGATGCCCGCGCATCCCATGGTCCAGGCAAGTGGAAAACCTGTAAACCAGAGCGCCAACATATGTGCGATCAATGAACAATTGAATTCGTGAAAGGCTGATCTGCAGTGTATTGGTATACGAGGTGATTCTTGTTGGCTAGCGCATCTTTTTCCACCCATCATCCCAAGGCAAATCCCTCTGAAGTTCTAAATCCTGAAAAACATCAAAAAGACAAAAGTACAGAAATCTCGATTTGTGTACTGTTGCAGTTCTTTTTTCATACCATTTACGCAATTTACTTGCGAATTGTGTGTGCCTTTTGTTGAGCGTTTGGCATGAAGAATCAGCTTTGCAGATGAACCATTGCACATCGAGTAAGACGAATAGCATGAGGGATGCTTCCATCTCTAAAGCTTATCTAACTCAGCATCCAGCTCTTCAAAACCTTAATACCAGGCATCAGGTAATCAGGTACGGCTGTTTTTCCAACTATGCCGGGGTGCCTTCAAACACCATCTAATCAAATTGAATCTTAATGAATTGAACGGTTCTTCTTTATTCATCTCCAAATGTTGAACTATTGGACATTCGAATGTCCAGTTTAGCGACTTGAGGTCTTTGCAGCTATTTGCGGACAAACGTGTTGAAACAATCATTAAAGCTTCAGGGCATTCTTCACGGTTACAGGCTCAAGGGTACCACCTTGATGCTACTTCCCAACAGCAACAAACAGCAACACTGAAACTAAGCACCCAACGTTTGGCGGTTTTTCGTGTGACACTGTGTCGTGCCATGTCCGTCATGTTACTGCGATTGAAGTTCTTTGTTCGGAGAAACTCCGTGTTTCGGGTGGCCACGGTAGGAACAGCTGCAAAGTCCCCCAAGTTCCCATTTCAGGCTGGACTTCTTACTGCTGGAGCCGGAGGAGCTCGAAGGGCGGAGGCGGCTGATTCTCGACGCCCCCCAAAAAAGCGTGTCCCGCAACACCTTTCATCGAAATGTTGTGCGGGGTGCGGGAAGCGGGTGTTTTCTTCCAAACTTACCAGGATTTACCAGGGGTTGTCTGGGATGAACCCTATACTTTTACAAGCTTTTGCAATCTTTTGCAAATGTACATCGCGGCTTAAATGTGTGTTAAAGCTAGCTATATATATATATATATTCCACAGAAGCTACATATGCCTGTTTACAGGTGCTAAGCCTGCTAAGCTGTACATGAACATCCCATCCCACAAGTGGGAGGAGATTGATCTTCCATCCCACAAGTGCCATGTGGCACCACAGCAAGTGCAACCCGTCCAAGGCGCGCCGTGTTGCCTTTCACGGATCCCCGGGTGAAGGCCATCCAGTTCGGGGCCCAGCGCCCCAGCGGATCCGGAGACAGTCGGACTGTCTGTCCTGTTGAACGCGAAAGGCGTGACCGCTGACAGGTGATTCCGAGAGAACTGAGGTCTGAACTTGGTCAGAAAGGTATGCCAGATGCTCCCTTGATATGTGATTTGAACTGGTTTAGGTGGCACTCTGTGATGATCATGACCAATGAATGAAGAATTTCCCAGAATAATGGTGCATTGGAGCTGCACCCGCATGGCCGCTCCATTACGTCGTACGTGTTGCGTCACAAGGTGACAAGTGTCCATAACCAAGTCCCTTTCACAATGCCCTGCATGATACGTATATGATTGATCAGTAACTATCCCAAACTGGTCTCCCAAACGGCGCAAAGCCTGCGGTCATTGGGCCAATTCTCATGTTCGTTCACCGTCCCGTGCACGTCCTCCGTCCTGCGAGTGAGGCCGCTCCTTTGGGCGAACGACCCGCGCGAGGCCCCGGCTCCTGGTTGATGCCGATGTGCCAGGTATGTTTGAAAAGGTACAACGATTCCAGATCCGATTCCCTGGTTGCAGTCCAATAGCCAAGAGTCTAAGTTGTTTATTTGTTAATGATATCTCATGGTATATGTAGTATATGAATTCCATGAATTAGTTTATTTGTATATTGTTATATATAAATATGGAGTTTTTAGATGATATTCCAAGCATGTTCTAATGTTTTCTAGCTGTTATGGCAGCAGATTCTACCAAACAGCTGGCTTGGTCTTCTTTCGCCTCACTTGGTCTCCACCAAGCAGTTTTGAACCAAAACGCGCGCGCGCCCTTGGTCGACACCCCCGAGGTGTCATCTCCAATGTGGCATCGTGGGTGAAGGCATTGGCGACGCCGAGGCGCCCACGAACCGGTTGGTTCGGCTCCGGAAGACCCGAAGACCCCGGAGGATCCCGGTGTCGGCAGGGTTGGGTCTTGGTCCGTTCCAACGCGGATCCACCAAGACCCTTTCGTCCCGTTGGACGAAACGGCACTAACGGCACAACTGGTGTGCCGAGGGTTTCGCAAACGGTGTTTTTTTTAGAAGCGGGTGTGAGGGATGCCTCGCAAATGATCGTTGGAGGACCTCTGAACTTTGATCCTTTGAGCAATACAACAAAGAACATCAAAGAACCTTCCGATATCTTCCGATAAGTGTTTGAAGCTGCATGCTGTCAACACTTCAGCACCATACACCGTTTTAAAGTTGTCATGAAAAGAAAAATGAACTCATACAGTCATGTGTTGTTTTCAAGAGATTTGTCTTCTCACTTTGCATCGATATTGAGCAGATGGAGCTTTACCTAAACACACCGCCGATGCACTGAGCGTTTCGGTGCTTCACGGGTGTGAAAAATGGTACAAAATGGTACAAAGCCAGTTGTTCATGTGGGCATGTATGTTAACACCCCTCGGACCTGGCTGGGTGTGACTGGTCTATTTTTTCGGATTATCGGAGTGTTGAAGGGATCGTACGCCAGGGGACCGGCAAGCCGGTCTCCACATCTCACTGTCTCACACCCATGCGGACGGTTGTGCTTTCGGGTGATTTTAGATGTTCCCCATGGGTAATCATGGGCAAATCCCCTTCCATATATGGCAATCCTTCCTTTATATCGATGTTTGCTCAAGGTGTATCATGGGGCATGGACCTGTGGCACCCCACAAGTCTTGTCCCATTTTACCCATCACAATGTGCTGTAACAGAACAGAGTCTTCGGCTGACCACCGGGCCTGAGCCCTTGCTACAGATCAGGTGGCGGTCCTCCAGTGGAAGGGGCTGAGCTTTCCACCTGGACGTCGTGGTGTTCGAGCCAGGCAGATGTGAATTTGGTGAGTGGAATGGAGCTTTCTTGTTTCTCCGCGCCCATTCACGGATTGGTCAACGTTCTGCAAAACCCCCGGTTCCGGGCGATTGGTGTTCCAAGTGCAGATGAAGAGATGGAAATAGATTTTAGCGGACTAAGATGTCGAGACACTGAAACAGCCGCGCTACTGAAATTGATGTTTGACGAGTTCGGCCCATGTTCTAAGAGTATGCGGGGGTGGATCTGAGAATGGAGCAGCCGATGTTCAATTGTAAGCAGACATGACATGAGTAATTGGTTAGACCCAAACCCGCGGCAAAGCAGCTGCAGGAACTCATACAGAAAACAACTCTTCACAAAGTGGTTCCAGCGTCTTTTGGCCTTACCAGGGGCTACTTTGACTAGGGTTGACCAAAAGTACTTTAAGAAACAACGTCAGATCCAGGATGTTCTGCATGCCTTTCGTAGGCCGGAGCCCAAGTCACTGGAAGTGCTCCTGAAAACCAGCGAGCGGCGTCCGGCCGCCCGGACATGCTGCACGCCTCAAGACTGAAGTGTCAGGACAAACGGTTGTAAGTTGTAAGGAGAAAATCATGCTTATAGATGAAAGGTGGTTGTTGAGTTAACTTATACTATATATGTCTCGGGTGTTTAGACCGAGTTCCTGGTTTTTCTTCTGGTTGTTGATTTTTAGCCATCCATACCCATTATCCACCAGCGATGACGTGCCGAGGGGATCCAGGCTTGCCAAAGCCACGCAAGCACCTGCTGCCAGGCTCCCAGAGGATGCTTTGAATGGCAGGAGGGAGTGGGACTGCTGCCTGATGAGATCAAGATCGAGAGATGAAAGATGATGACAGTGGAGAGCACTCAACTGTATACCCTCCATCCAGCAAACATGGAAGTGGAACATGGCGCCGTGTTCCACTTCCATGATTGTTTCAGGGAGGGCCACTAGTAAGTGGAGATAGAAAGCTCAGAAGCAGCGCCGGGGTGGAAGCAGCGTCGATCCAGTTTTTGCGTGAACGACCTTTTTGGTAGAGCATTTGTTTTGAAAGAGTTCACCGGGATCGAATGAGAGAATATATATGTGTGTCAGCTTTTGTTTGAGCACATCTTGATTCCTCGTTCAAAAGATCATGAGTCATAATTCATCATCTCAAACCCACCAATTGTGCCCAATCTTGCTGGATGTGCCGCGTCTCACCATGTTGGAACCTCTTTTTGGCACTCCCCTCACGGCACGGGTGTTTGTTGTAAAACCTGCTTTTCGTGTCCAGAAAAACCTGCACTCCTCATCATCGGTCCGACGACGTCGCACTCAGACGACGAGAAAGGCTCGTTGCTTCTCTTCGGTCGGTCGCTTCAGGTTGGCGATTCCCAGACCCTCTCGACTGGAGCGATTGCTGCCGCAGAGCCTGGCGGACGCATGGGGCGAATCGGTTTTTGGGGTCCGGAGAAGCCGTATCGCTGGATACTTTGGATCAAGATGGATGATCGATGGCACTAACCTAGAACCTCTCCCTATGATTTTTCTCATATAGAATCTATATAAGGCGGCTGGCATCATAGGACCCGAAATAGTTGGTTTCTCAATCCAACGTGTCCATCCTAATGCTGATAACATCGCTCAAGGCTTGGATCTTCACGCCATGATACTGGAGGAAGAGAGTACATGCGATAGAAGAGCCATTTTCAGAGCCGAAGAGAGCAGACGAAGAACCATGAATCTGGGCCATGAATGTGGCAGAGCCATTCGATAGAAGAATCTGGTTATAAACTGATGCTTTCATGATCTTTCATGTTTCCCCTATATTGGTTAAATCGAAGCCTTCGGTCGAAAAGCCATGAATCAGAGCCTTCTGTGCGACCTGGGCGATGATCTCGTCCTTCGTACCTGGCCATGACGGTGGCTGAGGCCTCACGTGGCGCACATGGGCGTCGGGGATCCCGGAGGCAGCGTGCTGCTCCACTTTGGGGCCCAAGTTAGTGCTTTGGCACTGATGGTCGAACCAGTTATTCCATGCAATTCCATAATTCCCTTAAAGATGTTTAAAGAATTGGGCTGTGGGATTGCAAGTGATCCATTTCTCCAACCAAAAGTGGTCCCAATGGTTTTTTTTGCCTGAGCAATTGCTGAGAATGATCCTCCCATTCTGCAGCAGTCTGTGGGTGAACGACTTTCTTTCCGCGTTTTTTTCTCCAAATTTCGCTGCGGCACTTAGTTCCGCGCGGAACTCGTCACTGGTTCGCCGCGTCACTTCACTCGCTTCTTTCGCTCGTGAATTGACTCGCTTTCCGAAGCGAGGTGGGGCATCTCATCCTCACGGGCGCCAACAAGGTGGACGCCAAGTACTTCAGGTCCGGGGTCCTTCGGCTGGGCCGCCGCTTGCGCCGGCCGACGTTTGTCTCAAGCTCTGTGGTGCAAGTCGATGGGCCAAGATGTGGAAGATCTTGGAATTTGCATTCGGTCATGATGCTGATGATGCATGTTTGCCAAGTATTTGAGTACATTTGAGTAGATAAGGTCAAAAACAATTCAGGTATATCCGGCCAGGGTGGCAGCTTACCCGACGGGAGTCAAGACTTTACAGGAAAAACACGCATGCAATTTATGCGCTTGCAACAGCATGTCCCGTTGAGGCGTGTTTGCCTTGAATAAGGGGTTGCCCGATTTCTCTCCACATGGAATCGCCACGTTTGTAACCGGAGTTGAGGTCCTTGATGGTCCCTGCCCTGCGGCATTTGCTTCGCCTGCGAAGTAGTGTCAGAGCAGCCAGGTAAATTAGAATATTACAATGACCTTGCAAAAGGAAACGGTGCCGCTGAAAACTTGGAGTACGTCACAGCGTTTGAAAATATTACTCACTGCGATGCTGCTCCTTGCTACCTGGTACCTTGAGCAGCCTAGATTACATGGCAAGGCGATGGAGAGTAGACTTTGTGGAAGTGATGGAGAATTCCAGTGGGATCCTGCACTAAGCACTGCTGCCTGGCTACTTGAGGTCAGCAGCAGTGGCATGTCATATTGCTGGGGGGCGGCAGGCAAAGTGGTTGGTATGAGTTCAGGTTGCCAGGCCGGCAAGCAGCCAAGTTATTGGAAGAGTGGCAAAGCGTTGAGGAAGCTCATGGAAGCTCATTTTTGGAGAGCGCCGGCCGAAAAACACGAGGACGTTCCGGGTGGTTTCACTCACTGATTGAAGCTACTTGTCACTATAATAGTCAATGTTATTGTTGTTCGTGCATTGCGAATGGTGCCACCTTGTCATACCTTGCCATTAATTTGTTTATAGGCACATGTCATTTTCCTTTGCCTGGGGAAGCCGAGGGAACCTGGCCTTCGCATTTGGTCATGTACACTGCGAGGAAACCGTTGCTTGCTCTTCCTGGCTTCTCCCAATCATAGGGGGTACCCCATGGTCGCGGCATCACATCGCCAGCTGACACGGCGCGACTTCTCCCGCGTGGGAGGGACCAGGGACGGCAGCCAGGAGCCATGTGATGGAGGGCTCGTACTTGCGAAGATGCTTGGGATTGGGCTTGGCAGGTGTGAGAGGCTTAATGAGTCACAACATTCCAGAAGGCGTTGGCATTCAGATACCTATTAAATTTACACACAAGTTCCATCAAGCCATATGTGCATCCCGTGTCTGTCATGTTCACTTCCTACATCACAGCATGGAATGGCATGGAATCTGCCCCCAGCCTATTTTAAATTCTTCAGCTCGCGGGCTCCAATGCCTTTGACTGAGGCAAAGGACACCACTATGCCCCAAGTCACCATCCAGCCCAGCCTCCAGGAGAGAACTAAAGTTTGGCATCCAGCATTTTGAGCCAACTACAGCATCTGTTTTCCAGGCACACGCGGTGTAAGAATGTGTACGAGATCCCCTCTTGCAGTTCCTAAAGCTCTATTTTTTCAACCTCTAACTCCGGATCTCAGTCTTCCTCATCTGAATAGAGGCCGACCGCAGTAATGACCGCATCGTTCGCACCGTGGTCAACCTCGGCCCCACCCCGAACAGCGCCTCCTTCGCATCGAGTCCGGTCGGCCAGGAGCTTCTGCGAGGTCTCGAGCAGATCCTCCCTGGTCGCAGACTGAGATGCCAGTTCCTCCGGATCATCCAGCGAACCGGGAGAGCAGCCGGTTCGGGATCCGGCTTCGGGATCCGGGTTCGGTCGGTCGTTGGGATGGACCCACGGTGGAACCAAACGGCATGGCAGGGCTGATCAGGAGATGCGATGTGGGAAATTCGATCGACGGGCGAAGGTTGCTAACGGAAACCTTAATTAATTAGACCTCTAAGACCTGTTGCTGACTCACGTCAAGTTGCAGCCTTTGTAGAGCACCTCACTAGGCTGAGAACCACAAACTGCTGAATTTGCATGAATTTGCTTGGTGCTTCTCCACAACTGTCATGCGATGCCACGGGTGAGAAGATCCATCCAATACATCTCGTACAACGATTGGGGCGCACACGTAGAACCAGAGGTGGACACCAAAACCATCCAAAACCTACTCATCCGCAGAGGTGATGTCACCCGATTGGTGGCCCATCCCGTAGAGGAAGAGGAGGGGCCCGCGTGTGGGAGCCTAGGCCCTCGACAGGTGACAAGCTATTGTTCAAAGGACTTTGGGTAGGTGACAACACCTAATCTTCCTATTTTTTCATGTTGGAAACGAGGGTTTCCTAGCTGGACTCGATGACTTAGTTCCAACCACTGCGAGGAAGGAAGCCTGTCAGGTGTTCCATAAGTGCCATGGCCCATGAAAGCTGCGTCATGAGAGTCGATCACACAGAGCAAGGGTATAGCCTGGGGGGTAGGTAAGAAACAGCTAGAAAGTAGCCGCTACACATATTTTGGCAGCCAGAGCATTTTAGTGCTTGAAAAAGCAAAACACATGTTTGTAAAACAATATAAAACATAACATGTTACATGTTTCTGGATGGTAGAGTTGGCATTTACAATGTAAGGTCGCCTATTGTTTGTTTTCACATGTTTTTTTTTTTGTGTTTCATATGTTATCATATGTCATATGTTTGACGACACTACGACGTTTGTACCTAGCCTGGTGATGAGCGGTAAAAGTTGTTGTTGTTGTTTTTACTTTTTTTCCGGCGGTAAGTGCGTGAAGAACAAGCTCCTTAGGCTGCGACCCTCCTCCTCAGAGGTGGCAAGCTGGGACGGTGTGGATGGACCTTCGCAGTTGAGTCGGTCGACTCTGGGCAACCACAGCTGTCCTTGGATTTTGCTGTCCATATTCACCAGGTGAACCTGGAAAAGAAATGAAAAGTAACATATTCACCAGGTGTGGGGATCTAACATGATCTATTCATAGGGTTGAAAAAAAGAAAGAAAACAATCACCTAAGTAAAAACCAGGATTCAGGCTCTTTGAGTGGGAGAGTGGCTTTTAACAGCTGGACTAGCGCACCATCGATCACCGAGATTGGCGACACACACGCTCACCACATGTCATGCGAGGCCCACAAGTTTCTCAGTGTGCCAAACACACAGCATGTTCCGTTTGCATCCTGCAGATGATCTAAGACAACTCCTTTTTGCACCAACGGTCGCAGGTTCCTTGCCACACCCGGTTTTGGGATCTCGGCCAGGTTTTGATGGCCATCGGTGCTGCCCTCATGATCTCGTAGCATGCAAGTGCCACAACATTTGCAACGATTGCTGTCCTCCATTTGTTGCATTGTTGACCTGCTGAACTACCTGTTGACCTGCTTGCAGCAAAACAAAGCATATGGCTGTGTGTCCGGAGGCCGTGAGAACCGTCAGGTGAGCTTCGATCATACAATATCATATAGTATATCACATACCTAGAACCTGAATGACCTCTATTTTGGATCACCAACCACCCAAAATAAGGTCTTTTCCTATCAAAACAGAGGTCAAATGGGCTCTAGGTATATATATATATATACAGAACGTCCAAAGGGGGTTCAGAGGAACGAGGGTGATGCCGTTTTTTTCTTTCTTGGTCGTGTTTGGGCTCAAAGCTGAGTGGTCGATGCAACCTTGCTGGTTGAGACTGATATATATATATATAGGATAAACCTGGAATGTATTGTGGATGAGACGGCCACACGATCCGATCCGATCTGGGAACCGAGGCCCCGAGGCTGGCTGGGAAGAGTCTGGAAGCTCAACAACATGTGTTCTGCCACAGCCTGGGGGACAATGGGGACGACGCGGACCGGTTGTATTCTCCCTTTGGCCCCTTGGCCGTTGGAAGATGATGATGGAAGGGGAACCCCTCCCAAAACGCAAGCACGCCCAGCCACAGCTGGTCGCGTGAGATTTGCGAGATCTAGAATCTACCTATAGTACTTCCGATGGGTGTCCAATGGAGACCTGTAAGTAGGGTAGGGTAGTCTAATGATGTCTAATGGATCTTTGAATTGGAGATGCTCTTCATATATGGGTCTTATTGGTCAGGAGTCTACACCAAGATAGAATCAGGAGTGTGCTTAACTAAACATGGATCGACCTGTGTGTCGTGCCAAGCCTCGTTTCCGGGGTTTCCGGATCCGTCCCTCAGGTCGGAACTCAACGCGCCAGATGACTCAGACCAGCACTGATTGCGGCAGGAAGCACAACTGGCAGTAGCAGAATCTTCACTGGGCAGTAGCAGGTGCGGGTGATTTTGTTGCAATGGTTCAGGCTTGCGGCTTGCGGCTTGAATGCTTTAAAGGTCTCAAGTAGAGAAGAGTGCCTCACCTCCGTATCCCGGAGCACAGTAGCTCGAGGATGGTTGAATTGGAGTCGGAGTCAAGATCAAGATCAGTTCTTTGATAAAGTCAGTCTCCACTGTTGAACCCACCTTATGTATCCCTATAGGGATCCAAGTACCTTCTCAGAAGGTGGAGACACTGTTATGTAGGTGCCAGGAGGCTCCAGTGGTACCTTCTGAGAAGGTAGTTGCCCTATAAAATTAGACGACGAGTTTCATGGGTTAACCCTCCACCACCTAGATTCTACCGTCCACATCCGTGCACCACCTGGAAAAAAAGGACTCTTTTTGTTTCACCAGGAACCAGGTTTGGCTTAATAAGCTGAAGGTGCTGTTATATGTTTCCATGATTTTCTGGTTCAATCCCCATCCCCCCGAATGATGTGTTATTTGCGGCTCGTTCCTTGCACCGTTCTCCCAAACGCCTGGTGTTTGTGGCTCGGCCGGTGGTCACCGAGGCTGCAGAGCTCCGGCTTCCGCACGGTCTCCCTGGGGCCGCGGACCCTTCGCACGGACGTGGCCGCCGTGGCGGCGTTGGCCGCTCGGTGGAGGGCGAGCCGCGTGTGTTGGGTGCGATTGCTCGCCGGCCGCAGGAAGAGTTCAGCTTGGTACGAAGGTCCGTCCGTCCGTCCAGAGACTCTTCCACATGGGGTTTCAACTTCCCGGTGCCATGCAGCTTCTGAAGAATGTGAACAGTTTGCAAGGCTAAGGCTTGAGGTCCGGTGATGGTACCTTTTTCCTTTGTAGAGCACCCGGCGCTTGCAGCACAGGCAACCTAGCAGTGGAGTTGTTGCATTCTTTTTGATGATTGAGTGATTCTGAGTTATTTGGGGATGGATCATAACAGTCAGTCACAAGATGGTGGAACTATGTGGAACTTCAGATTCCGATTTCGGTCAGAACCAAGTCTCCTTTGTGCAAGCTACTTGCGCAAGTGGAGAGAAAGGGAAGGACCGAAAACTTCGGCCCTTGAGAAGGGCTTTGAGGGTTGACACCTAAGGTGTCGGGTCCGACCCCTGCCATGGAGATCGCAAGGGTTCTTATATCACATGCTATCACTATCACATGGCTGTTTTTTTTCCGCTGAGTGGGTTGCTCCTTGTCTTGCTTCTGCAGGTTCCTTGAGAGCGGAACCTGCCGACACGAACAGTGAGGGCATCGCGGCCTGGGGGATCCTGAAAAAACCGTGAACCATCCCGACCAGTGGGCGTGGTTCCCACGTGGGCGTTTTCACGTGGGTAACTCGGTACGTCGCTGGTTGTTTCGAGCAGATGGCCCCCCCCGTGAGCGCCCTACATCGACCGTGTGTTCGATCAAGTTGTTTGGGGAAACACAGGTTTTTGGTCCCGGAAGGCCGGGCCTAATCTCTTGGACACATCGAAACTCAAGGTCTCAGGTGCCTCTCCTTGGATGAAGCGACCTTGGAGGGAAACATCCTGAGATTGTCAGACCTTGGCATCACTCCTAAGGCCTTGTCAGATCAACTTGTGGCGCCGCTGAGAGGAGAGCGCCAGTGACGCCGAGATCAGCGTACAGAAGAAATCGGCTTCCACTTCATGAGCGACTTCTCGGATTCCACATGCTTATGTCATTCATGTCATTTCATGTTTTTAGATTGTGATGGTTTGTGATTGGCTGCTTTAATGATGATGATGATTATATTTACCTGTTTTTCAGGGGAGGGTGATGTTGGTGGCGGTTCAAGATAGCTCAAAATATCAAAGGAATATATACGTCTTTCTAGAATGTATCATGTAACAGCACATGGCTGTGACCATTTGGCTCAACCAGCTTGGGTGGGAAGCTCTTTGTTTTGTTTGCAGATTAGGTGAGATTTTGCAACAGCTTGCGTGTCCATATGATAATTCATAGTTTGTACACAACCTATACAATTTGCAGATTGTAGATATGTCTAGAATCTCTTACCCAAGAGCCTGAACCAGCAAACAAAGCAATGAAGAAGCAACTGAAAACGTCGTTCTCCACCATCAAGTCAACAGCACTGACAGTGCACAGCACGTCGGTACGTCGGTCCGGACCTTTTGAATTAGTTTGGGGCCACACTGCTATGCTGAGTGCCCCATCTCGGACTCGGCCACTCTTCGAAGCGCGCGTATTTATAGACCTCTTATATAAATCAGCCATGAAAATCCTTGGGAACTGTTTTCAGCATGACCAAACCAGTGCACTACCAGCACTTCCCCAGTCCACGGAGGGGATTGAAGCACAGCCAACCAGCGAGATGCGCCGGATGGGATGGCCATGTGCCTTGGCGAACGAATGGTTGATGGTTTAGATCGGGATTGGACATTGCTGGTTTAGTGTTCACCTTTCCCAAGTTGCGAGATATTCGTACATACTGTTTGAGGGGCACCCTTTTCAGCAGTTTGCATGCGAAGACTTTGAGGTGCAACTTCTTGTGTTTGATTGCGATCAGAACTCATGGACTTCGTGCGATTGAAAGAAGATGCCGACGCAAACGGCGATTTAGTTTCGCTGTTTCCTGTCGGTATGGGCATTCTTCTGGTTTGTAGATGTTTGTAGTTGGGTGGCCTGCCAGACCAGGGCCCAGATCGGGTTTGCACCGGGTCACGATATGGAGCGTGAGATTTCCCAGAGGAGGTGTCCAATTCGGCATGAAAGTCACGTCCGACATGTTGAACAGATGTTGTGAATCATGAGGTTAGGTGATTTGAAAATTGGGTCACTGGCTTCCACGTCGAAATTGACTCAGACATGGAGGTCGGCGCCCCAGTTCTGCCACTCGAGCCATTCAGGTCGGGAGCTGCGCAACGACCCACCGGCTCGGCGGTCGGCGCCTTTCTTGTGCTTCGGGGGGAGCACTCCTCAACGTCATAGACACGGAGGGTCATCTCTGAGAGCAAGTTAATTGTATTTAATTGTAATTACTAGTAGTAGTGCCACGCTAGTAGTAACAGGTGCCTTACTAGTAGTAACAAGAAGCTAGTAGCAACAAGTGCCAGGCTAGTAGTAACAGGTGCCTTACTAGTAGTAACAAAAAGCTATTAGAATTAAATTCAAAATTGCGGCAATCGAAGTTCTAACATGTTCCTAACCACCAGCATTCACCATCTGTCACTGTGCTATCGAGGCTAGGGGTGAACATCCACGACCCTTGGATGGGACGAGCCACACCACCCCGTCGAACGTGACTCCTGGTAATTCTATATGAATTCTATTAATGATTACTTGGCATGATGTTGCGTTCACCGTGTCTGACGGGACAACATCTCATCATCGCTCCTTCTAACGGCTTCACCCTTCACAAAGCGTCGCCGCAAGAAATGTCAAGGCCGTGCCTCCTAGGGCTTTGCAGGCTAGTGAGGGCATGGGCGGGGCTGGGCTGAGGATTGCATCCTCCGAAAAGTGGGTACTTTCGCAGGATTTTGATTGAGAGAACCTCGGTAGTGAACATAGGTTCACTGGTTGATTCAGATTCAGAATGATTTTAGCTTGCTCCATTGTGTGAAGGCCATCATCATAAGACATCTATTTGGCCAAAAGACATCGAAGTCAAGGTGCGCGGCTTTCTTTCCTCCCAAGAAACTGGGTTGATTGTCCTGCCCTGAAGATCTCAAGCGCACAGGCCAAGCAGGAGGCAAACTACATCCGTTGGATTCTCAGATCATTCTCCTGTTACACAGTGTCTTTGTGCACTTCATCTCCTCGTTTTTCGACTTCTTGGGGCTTGATTGTGACTTTTTGTGACTTCCCCAAGGGTACGGATCCGCCATGAAGGTGGCTTCTAGTCGAGTTCAGAGCTGTTTCAAGAGGTCTTGGGGTCTCCTCGCACAAGTGCGCCAGTGCGATGGAGAGGAAAAACGGCCAGCTCAGGACCAGTCGAGGGGAAATCGGCCAGAGGCCAGCAAATTGCTGGGGGGAAGAGGGTTGAAGCGAAGAAGTCCACAGACGTTTGTTTTAAAGACATTTGTCAACAGCTATGGTGAAATCAGTCAAATTAGTGTGATACTTCCGAGATTGTTACAAGCAGATGCATTAGTTTACTTGATCTTGAGCTTGGAGGTAGCTTAAACAATGCTAAACAAATGATAGGATAAGGCCGTAGCGGAATTGAATCGGCATAGGACAAGATCCTTCACTCGATGGTCCACCTACAGCCCTGTGCCGGAATGCATGCTTTGGTCATGTACTGGCCATCATGGTTGGTGTTCATTTTGCTGGATCAAGCGGTCCATGTTCCACTCCACGGTATCTAAAGCACTTGTGGTGCTTGCCGCAGGGCTAATGGCAGAGAACATTTCTTCTGTGTCGCCACATCATCACCGTCATTCGCTTGATCATGTGCTTAGATGCAGGCGGTTCTTCCGTGCACAAAAAGCGCACGGTTCTTGTTGCAAGAGCACACATCACGCTGCTGATGCAATTTGAATTCGATTGATAGCTGCCACCCGTGTCAACAAGATCCAACAAGCCTGACCGGCAACGTAGGAAATCAATTCTGATGAATTGCCATGTTCAAGACCTGAGATGCTTCTTCCACATTGGCCAATCGGATTCTGCCACACACGAATCAGATCAGTTAAACATGCAGAACTGACCGGCACAAATGAGTGGAATTCCTTTGCAAATACATCCCGGTTCTGACTTTGGTCGGAAATTGGTGGAACCTGAGGCCTAGGTCCCCAAGAAGATCCATGATTTGCACACACCAACGGGGAGCGTAGCATAGCCCAACGGCGCTGCGCCGTCGCCAGGGCTGACGTGGCGGGGCTGCTGGGGCACGGGGACTCGGGGTCTCGGTGAGCTGAAGCGCCGAGTCGGAAGTGTGGACTGGGAAGGGTATGAATTGGGTAGAAGGCTTGGTCGCTTTGGTCGGTGGGTTTGGAAGGCTTGGTGATGCTTGGTGTTTTGAGGATGTTTTTTGATGCAGTTTCATGGTTTGCTTTCCAGGGTTGGCCAAGTGTAGCTCTACGGCACATCGACATCGAGACATTTTTTTTGGGGTCATCCCTGCAGACCACTTTGTCAATTGTTGGTGTTGTCCCAAAGGCTATGTCAGGCTACTGGTATGTGAGGAAAGAGTAGGCCCTGGAGTTGTATCTTAAAGCCTCCATCCCTGAGCGGCGACTCTTCTTTTTTTCTCCTCATACCACCATTATGGTGGCTTAACATGGCTTAACTGCAAAGTGTCCGGAACTGCCCACACCAAGTAGAGATGATTCTTCAGCATGCACCCAGTTCCTGGGATTTTCCGTGTTCGGTCTTGTGGTTCCTCATTCTACTGCAAGCTTTCAGGCTGCTCCTCCACGGAAATTGGCATTTACGTCTTGGCGACGGTTGTTGGTGACTTAGATCCCAGAGATGTGGCGTGAATGTTCACAGAATGTCATGTCATAAACTCACATATACTGAGGGTGCTTTGAGGTGCTCTTCTTTTGCAACATGTTTGGGACCATTCATGGAGATCCGGGCCGGATAGATGCCCTTTCAAAACCTCGACTCCTTTTGAATATCCAACTGATCTCTTGAGCCATTTGGGGCATACATGGCCACGAGAAGGGTTGCTTGCAAGTGTCAAGCCAGAAATGACATCCAAAACTTATTATTGTGTGATATTGTTGGTGTGTGTGTTATTTTTTTCAGGTGAAATGATTGGGCAGAGCGTCATGCTGTCACGCCACGTCCCTTTTGATGAAGGGGGGGTGATCCCAAAAGAATTAAGAGCAAGTAGCCCCTGAAACTGGAGTATAGTTGGAAGAAGTTATGAGGTGCTTAGTAGGCGTGCATGAGGTGTAGGACCACCCTGTTCTTTTCCCGAAACCTTGTTCGTTACAGGATGTGGTTGCTAAGCATAAAATATAAACCCTTTCTGTGCGGCATTCCATACCATGTTTGCCAATGTGCGCATTACCGTATACAGCTTGGCCACTGTCGTAACAGTATGTTGTAATTAAATCCAACAGATCATTCCTACCCCTACTTAGTAGCTTTCAATGTGGTACCCCGAGATGCTTGGATGCTTGTCTCCGTTCCTCTAGAGTTTCCGTCGTTTTTTCCTCTCCTCTTGCAGCCATGAACAGCACACAGAATTACCATACCACTTGCCCTTTGGACTTTTGGAGAGGTGTTCAACAAAAATGGGTCCAGGTTTGCCATGGCTTGCCCCATCCCGTGATTCCCCATGTCAGTCAACGCTTCGTGTTGAAATCACGGATTGGAGTCACGCTGCGCTCACGCACGCGCCGCGTGACCTATCGATGTGGATCAAGTGTTCTGTGCAACTCGCAGCGCTGAGGTCGGACATATACACTTGCAACCCCTCCAGGAAGGCAGAGACCTGGACAAAATCCGAGGGATTCACGGCGAGGTTTGGTGCGCGAATTCGTTTGGTTCGCGACGGACGACCGCCCGTCCGACGCCTTCGGGCCCGGCTTCATCGGACAGAGCTGCAGCTGGGGTGAATTGGGTCGGAGAGAGCTGGCCTATCGTGGCCTGGGGGGTTTTGGGGGTGTCCGGAATATTTGGCCTTTTCTGGTGCAGCGCAGCATGCTGAACGT